GGACTGAGAGATAAAGGCCCCTTCACTAATAAAGATGTGATATGTATAGGTGGACTGAGAGATAAAGGCCCCTTCACTAATAAAGATGTGATATGTATAGGTGGTCTGAGAGATAAAGGCCCCTTCACTAATAAAGATGTGATATGTATAGGTGGACTGAGAGATAAAGGCAATGTCCCTTCTCTAATGTAGCAAGGTAAAACTACGCTTCTGGATATTTTGTTAAAATGATGATGTACACACTCACAAAAATATTGTTACCTGTTAAAACAATATGGGGCTGTTTGGCAAAGAGTTTTCCAGATTACACAGGTTCATATTACACAGGGTGGTATAGAGTGTGCCCTTGTTAAAGGTCCACTTTACACAGGTTTCTAGATTACAGACATTCTACGCTATACAAGGCAGAACACACAGCTAATGGGTCATAGTTGAATTCTCTAATTTTCATTTCTATTTCCATCTTGCAATTATTGTTTTGTCTAACAATCATATCTTTATATCATATTTTTTATCACGGAGACTATACCTGTCTGTTGTAGATAGTCCAGACTTTTCTCGTCCACAGGGAAGAACCCGATGGTGGCCCCATACTCGGGACACATGTTGGAGATCGTAGCACGGTCAGCGATGGACAGATGCTCCACACCGGGCCCGAAAAACTCCACAAACTTTCCAACAACCCCAATCTGTCTCAGGTTCTAAAATAATAATCCAACTCTTTATGTGAATAACACATTCCTGTAATTTGGAATGAGAGTCATGCCAGTCAGTATAACAGGAACACACCGTCTGATGGTGACAACAAGCAAAGTTAGGACTGGGAAACAAATCAGGTAGACAGACATGTGGACATGCCGTTTAAAGAGAATCTCCGGAATTTCAACAGGACAAATAAAATAAGGAGGAGAAACACAGGAATAAATGTGGGACTAACATTAACACATGAATGTAACATTTAAATATACAGGGTCAGTATAAGGTGGCCTTACCTTTGTGATGGTCAGTACAACATCAGTCGAGGTGACCAGAGGGTTGACGACCCCGGTCAGTCTGTATCCGACCACCTGTGGTAGGACCATACTGATGGCTTGTCCTAACATAACCGCTTCAGCCTCTATCCCTCCTACACCTGTAACGACAGACTGACCACTCAGTTTGTATACAATTACCCGTCACAGACCTCTACCCCTGTAACGACACACTGACCACTCAGTTTATATACAATTACCCGTCACAGACCTCTACACTTGAACAACAGACTGACCACTCAGTTTATATACAATTACCCGTCACAGACCTCTACACCTGTAACGACACACTGACCACTCAGTTTGTATACAATTACCCGTCACAGACCTCTACACCTTAGTCTGTTACAGATTTCTACATCTTAGTTTGATTACGGTAACCACTAAAACTTATAACAAATTTTATCAAGGATCATAATTCATAAGTCATTTTTGTATCTCCAAAATTTTCAAAAAGAGGAAAAAATAGTGACAAATCACTCACAGCCTCACTTGGCTTGACAAGATAAATACTCTTCTACTTCGGTTTTTCTGCTAGCAACTGCCAAAAGTTATCTCTACAGCTATGCTTGATATTGTTTTATTTACATGACAATTATTTTGAGACCTCGTAACTAGGACACTGAGGGTTCAAACAATAATTTGTTTTAAACTTCCAAACAAATATATCAAGTATTCGTAGGAACCTACCCCAGCCGACTATACCGAGCCCGTTGATCATCGTGGTGTGAGAATCGGTACCCACCAGACTGTCTGGGTAGAGAATATTGTCAGAATCAAACACCACTTTAGCCAAATATTCCAGGTTCACCTGGTGGACAATTCCTGAACCAGGGGGGACAATCACCATATTTTCTAAGGCCTTGGCTCCCCACTGAAAAAGACATGAAGTACTGTCAAATCAATACAAATTCATCATCTGTTAAATTTTCAAAAATACTTTTGATTAAAAATAACCCGTGAATAAATCAAAATCAACAATGACTTCAAAATAAACAAAAATGTCACCAGATTAGCAAAACAATGAAACATACCATTTAGTACATTTCTGGTTCAGTTAAACAAAGGAATATATGAAAAGACTTCATAAAAAGATTTCTCATATGAATACCGTGTTATGCAGTGTCATAAAGCCATCACATAAATGATGTTTATGTAACGTGTGTAGTATCACTCCATGTACATTGTTTCTGTCACCTTACCTTGAGGAAGACAAAGCGCTCCACGTTTCTTTCAAATTCCAGCTCTTGATTTTTTTCTAATGCGTCAACACTAAAACATAAAACAGCAATCTTACAAAATCATCATCAATAAATTTTACTTGTGATTTGTTTAAATACAGAGAAAACTTGAGTTTACCGACATCTGACTTAACTGACATCTGAGTCTACCGACACCTGATTTTACCAACATATTATCTGTCATTATTTTAGGGCACAAAAACATTTTTGTTTTTGTCTTTAAATCAGCACTTTTACTAACACTGTCAAATCCAGCCAAATGATATCTATTAATTCACCTTAGAAAAAAACTGAGTTGAAAATGTGTATACCTTGTATTGGTTAACAAAGCTCTAATCAGTCACATTACCAAATTCTGACTGCCGATTGGACAATATTACTGTTACAGTAGAATTAATCCTGTAATGTGTTACTCAGTTTTCTATGGCCATCATTATGTTCGTACAGTCTGTGTGTGATTTAATGATACTGCACTAAATCAACAGTATTATAAACTCAGGACAAGGTACAAATAAACTTATCACAGTAACACATATACTGTACTAGAGAGGATAATGGTGAGGAGAAAGGCAGGAGGTCAAAGGTCAGAGGTCTAGGTCAAGGGTCACACCTGGTCAAGTTTTTAGGGGAAGGGAATTCTGGACAAACACAAGTCATCAGAGAACACCATAATGAGAGGACTAACTAAATGAGATTTTAAAGTTAACTTGTACAAAATGTACAGGTTTGGACAACTGCCAAAAATTGTAAAAGTGAATCCGAAACTTTTTTATCTTCAAATTATTTCTGACAAAACAGCGCAATTAAGGTATCTACAAAATTAATCTGACGTAAAAAGGCACACCAGAATTGAAAGCCTTAACTCCAATGGTTGTTGGGATCTGACTTCTGAACAGTGTTAGTTCCCGGGCCCAGCTCGACAACAGTTATACACAGTCAAGGGGAGGTCACTGTATACCAGCTGTGTTTCATATGAAAATCTAAAGTGATTTTTTTTCGTGTTTTGATTAATACCAGTTGGTTAAATTATGGTTGTCTTTTGCTATGCAGCTTAATTTGCTTTCACCCTGATTAATGTAGTTAAAATACTTCAATATTTTTGACATCTCAGATATGAAGTTCTCTGATGTTACAACCAACAGGCTGTAGATGATAAAACACGACAAACATTAAAGTTGTTGTTAAACTGAAACAATTCCTCCACCACAAGACAAAACAATTCCTCCACCACGAGACAAAACTATTCCTCCACCATGAGACAAAAGTATTCCTCTATCACAAGACAAAACTATTCCTTTATCACGAGACAAAACAATTCCTCTGTCACTAGACAAAGCTATTCTTCTATCACGAGACAAAACTATTCCTCCCCCACGAGATAAAACTATTCCTCTACCACGAGACAAAACTATTCCTCTATCACGAGACAAAACTATTCCTTTATCACGAGACAAAACAATTCCTCTGTCACTAGACAAAGCTATTCTTCTATCACGAGACAAAACTATTCCTCCCCCACGAGACAAAACTATTCCTTTATCCAAGACAAAGCTATTCCTCTATCACGAGACAAAAATATTCCTCCCCCACGAGACAAAACTATTCCTCTACCACGAGACAAAACTATTCCTCCCCCACGAGACAAAACTATTCCTTTATCCAAGACAAAGCTATTCCTCTATCACGAGACAAAAATATTCCTCCCCCACGAGACAAAACTATTCCTCTACCACGAGACAAAACTATTCCTCCCCCACGAGACAAAACAATTCCTCTATCCAAGACAAAGCTATTCCTCTATCACGAGACAAAACTATTCCTCTCCCACGAGACAAAACAATTCCTCTATCACGAGACAAAACTATTCCTCTATCACGAGACAAAACTATTCCTCCACCACGAGACAAAACTATTCCTCTATCCAAGACAAAACTATTCCTCCCCCACGAGACACAACTATTCCTCTACCACGAGACACAACTATTCCTCCACCACGAGACAAAACTATTCCTCTGTCACGAGACAAAACTATTCCCCTACCACGAGACAAAAAATATTCCTCTACCACAAGACAAAGCTATTCCTCTATCACGAGAAACTATTCCCCCACAACAAGACAAAGCTATTCCTCTATCACGAGACAAAGCTATTCCTCTATCACCAGACAAAGCTATTCCTCTACCACGAGACAAAACTATTCCTCTATCACGAAACAAAGCTATTCCTCTATCATGAGACAAAACTATTCCCCCACAACAAGACAAAACTATTCCCCCACAGCGAGGCAAAGCTATTCCTTTATCACGAGACAAAACTATTCCTCTATCAAGAGACAAAACTATTCCTCTATCACGAGACTAAACTATTCCTTTATCACGAGACAAAGCTATTCCTCTATCACGAGACAAAGCTATTCCCCCACAACGAGACAAAACTATTCCTCTGTCATGAGACAAAACAATTCCTCTGTCACGAGACAAAACTATTCCCCTACCACAAGACAAAAAATATTCCTCTATCACAAGACAAAACTATTCCTCTGTCACGAGACAAAACTATTCCTCTATCACAAGACAAAGCTATTCCTCAATCATGAGACAAAGCTATTCCTCTATCACGAGACAAAACTATTCCCCCACAACAAGACAAAGCTATTACTCTATCACGAGACAAAACTATTCCTCTATCACGAGACAAAACTATTCCCCCACAACAAGACAAAGCTATTACTCTATCACGAGACAAAACTATTCCTCTATCACGAGACAAAACTATTCCCCCACAACAAGACAAAGCTATTACTCTATCACGAGACAAAACTATTCCTCTATCACGAGACAAAACTATTCCCCCACAACAAGACAAAGCTATTACTCTATCACGAGACAAAACTATTCCTCTATCACGAGACAAAACTATTCCCCCACAACAAGACAAAGCTATTACTCTATCACGAGACAAAACTATTCCCCCACAACGGGGCAAAGCTATTCCTTTATCACGAGACAAAGCTATTCCTCTATCACGAGACAAAGCTATTCCTCTATCACGAGACAAAGCTATTCCTCTACCACGAGACAAAGCTATTCCTCTACCACGAGACAAAGCTATTCCTCTATCACGAGACAAAACTATTCCTCTATCACGAGACAAAACTATTCCCCCACAACAAGACAAAGCTATTCCTCTATCACGAGACAAAACTATTCCTCTATCACGAGACAAAACTATTCCCCCACAACAAGACAAAGCTATTCCTCTATCACGAGACAAAGCTATTCCTCTATCACGAGACAAAGCTATTCCTCTACCACGAGACAAAGCTATTCCTCTACCACGAGACAAAGCTATTCCTCTATCACGAGACAAAACTATTCCTCTATCACGAGACAAAACTATTCCCCCACAACAAGACAAAGCTATTCCTCTATCACGAGACAAAGCTATTCCTCTATCACGAGACAAAGCTATTCCTCTATCACGAGACAAAGCTATTCCTCTACCACGAGACAAAGCTATTCCTCTACCACGAGACAAAGCTATTCCTCTATCACGAGACAAAACTATTCCTCTACCACGAGACAAAACTATTCCCCCACAACAAGACAAAGCTATTCCTCTGTCACGAGACAAAACTATTCCTCTATCACAAGACAAAACTATTCCTCTATCACAAGACAAAACTATTCCTCTATCACAAGACAAAACTATTCCTCCACCACAAGACAAAACTATTCCTCCACCACGAGACAAAACTATTCCTCTATCACAAGACAAAACTATTCCTCTATCACGAGACAAAGCTATTCCTCTGTCACGAGGCAAAGCTATTCCTCTATCACGAGACAAAACTATTCCTCTATCACAAGACAAAACTATTCCTCCACCACGAGACAAAGCTATTCCTCTACCACGAGACAAAGCTATTCCTCTATCACGAGACAAAGCTATTCCTCTATCACGAGACAAAACTATTCCTCCACCACAAGACAAAGCTATTCCTCTATCACGAGACAAAGCTATTCCTCTATCACGAGACAAAGCTATTCCTCTACCACGAGACAAAGCTATTCCTCTATCACGAGACAAAGCTATTCCTCTACCACGAGACAAAACTATTCCCCCACAACAAGACAAAGCTATTCCTCTGTCACGAGACAAAACTATTCCTCTATCACAAGACAAAACTATTCCTCTATCACAAGACAAAACTATTCCTCTATCACAAGACAAAACTATTCCTCCACCACAAGACAAAACTATTCCTCCACCACGAGACAAAACTATTCCTCCACCACGAGACAAAACTATTCCTCTATCACAAGACAAAACTATTCCTCTATCACGAGACAAAGCTATTCCTCTGTCACGAGGCAAAGCTATTCCTCTATCACGAGACAAAACTATTCCTCTATCACAAGACAAAACTATTCCTCCACCACGAGACAAAGCTATTCCTCTACCACGAGACAAAGCTATTCCTCTATCACGAGACAAAGCTATTCCTCTATCACGAGACAAAGCTATTCCTCTACCACGAGACAAAGCTATTCCTCTATCACGAGACAAAGCTGCTGAATTGTGTGAGAGATGTTGGAGTCAAAACTTTACCATAGATATCTATGTGATGAAAGTCTGTCTACATTATCAGCATTTTGAAATGTCTATCATTTTCATTTGCAAGTGTTGCTTGAATTTGAAATGAAAATGCACATTTAAAGTTCAAATCAGAAAATAAGGATGTGCAAAAAAGAATTATTTCAAGCACTGCAAGTTTATTTATAGAATTGCAAGCTATTTATAGCACAGCAAGTTTTTATAGCACTGCTATTAAAGCTTCATGCCCTTTAGAGGTAGAGTAAATTACAGCTATGGTACTAACCCTGCCCTCTGTTGTCCAGGACAAGTATAGGTCTGTCTTTTAAGTAGAGAACACTGCGAGCAAGAGGCTGTACCTGACCTTTGACCTCCGCCAGGGTTGGGAGAATTCAACAGACTACAAGAGAAACCAGACTGAAGGTTATATTCAATGAGACCAGAGGAAAATAAGAAAAAATATTATCCTATGTTTTTGGTATAAAAACTGCTAAAAATTTAAATAAAAACAAAAATTTATTTATCAGAAATCAGGTACATGTATATAACAATAATGTTTCGCTTATTTACATGAAAGTTTTAAAAAATGTGTCATCCCATATAGATGTAAAGCAATAAACAGCTTTTTCAAGGCTGTGTCTCCGTCTTTTCGAGAACATTTTGGATTACCATAGTAACAAGTTTGGGAAAATCCTGCCAAGAAACAAAATGATCTGTTACAGAGATTGTGGAATCCATGAAAATATCACATGGAAACAGTAAACTGTTTTTTTATGAGTTATCCCCGATTGGATTGAGGAGCCAAGGAAATGTTATCAGAGAATTTCAGGGCACTCTATGTTGAAGGAGCATGAAAATAATCCTTTGGAAAGGGAACCAGTTAAATGTTTCAGTCCCATGATGAAAAAAACTTAAAGATCAGTTGGAAATATATGGTTACGATTTTTTATAGAACATCAAGCAGAATCACTTTCCATTAATTCCCTGACCTACAAATCTACAGGTTGTGTTGACTTTATTATTAGTGATATAGTATGTAAGACTAGCAGGGAAATCTACAGTGAACAAGGCATCACAAGTGATACAAATCCCCTCGCATTCACACATTGTGTGCCATATATGAGGAAATGAATAGAAAATCCAATGATGTAACAGTAACTGCTCTAGCGACTGCATCTGTTGAAGGTATTGTCATGGTAAACAATTTTATCAAATCTGTTGAGGAATGTGGATGACAAAGTTTTTCTAAAAATAGTAACAGTGACCTTGAACTTTCACACTGTAACCCAAAGCGCAAATTGTTCAAGGCATTGATTGTCATACCAAACACTTGTATCAAGTTTCATGAAATACTGTTGAGGAATGCAGTCGCTAGAGTGATGACAAAGTGTGTGTTTTTTTTTTAAAGTAACAGTGACCTTGACCTTAAACGTAGAAATCTGAAACACGAACTTGTTCAAGGCAATGCAATTTGCCATACCAAACACTTGTATGAAGTTTAATGAAATCATGGCAATCTTTGTGCTGACGATGCAACCAATGTCACTACCAACGATCGTGACACCACAGATGCTGACAGAGTGATCTGCATGTCATCTTCGCTACAGCATGCACCTCTAAAACCTTCACCATCATCTAAGGGGACAGAATTACATTTGTCTCTCACATATCATGTAGTGACAGTGTTCAGTGACTGAAGGAGTCTGATGAAGAATTAAGTGGATGGACAGATGGATGAATAAAAAGATATATCACTTTATGCACCCAATTACAGTATCCTACCACGCTGCCTAAAACGCACATAAATAGCAAGATTTGTGAATGTAAATGAAATAATAAGGAAATTAAGATCCGGAAATCTTCAGTGTCAAATTCAGCAAAGCGTCATAATTCTGTATAAAGTATTGTGATTAAGCAGCCCAAGTTCTGTATGTGAAATTTCTCCGCCTTCCCAGGATACAAAAGTACAGGAAGTTTGATCAACAAGGGCGGAACAGGTTAGGCTTTGAACATTTGTATCACAAACAAGGCTTTGAACATTTGTATCACAACAAGGCTTAGAACATTTGTATCACAAACAAGGCTTTGAACATTTATATCACAAACAAGGCTTTGAACATTTGTATCACAAACAAGGCTTTGAACATTTGAACACAAACAATGCACAGGATCTCATGTACACAGTGACCTAGTTACAGCAAACTAAACACCCTTTTTGATAATATTATAATTTCACCAAGACATCTCAGACGGATTCAAAATGTATGACGTGGACAATTTATGTAATGAATCAAAGATGTACTAAAACAACCAGAGTACAAACCATGGAACTAGGACTGTTTATCAGAAAGGGAGACAACCAATAAATGCTAATTAACATTGATGACATGTGTAGCCTGAATACAAACCATGGAACTAGGACTGTTACAATTTGTCTTGTTTATCAGAAAGGGAGACAACCAATAAATGATAATTAACATCGATGACATGTGTAGCCTTCAGCTCTTATATTAACTAAGGACAATACCATAACTCTTTCAAAAAGAAGAAAATACAGAATCTGCCTGAACAAATAACCAAACTATATTTGGAAAATATTGTGACCAGGTTTCTAGGAAAATTACAATCGCATGCGCATGTCCTGTAAGGGTGTTGTTAGTCACAATATAAAGTAATCCAGGCTTTCAATCACGGTTCCATATACAAGTTTTATTTCATATACTGGTCTTTATTGGTAGATTTACATTCAGCTATCCAATAGGTTGTCGGACGGTGTTCAAAACATCAATTTCAAATGAAAGTCCAGAATTTACAAAAATAAACAAAATCTGGACATCCTAAATACACAAACTTAATGTTGCTTCAAATGCTCCTACGTTTGTGTTAGTGTGTACCTGTGTGTGTGTACCTGTGTGGGTGTACCTGTGTATGTGTACCTGTGTGGGTGTACCTGTGTGGGTGTACCTGTGTGTGTGTACTTGTGTGTGTGTACCTGTGTGGGTGTACCTGTGTGTGTACCTGTGTGTGTACCTGTGTGTGTGTACCTGTGTGTGTGTACCTGTGTGTGTACCTGTGTGTGTTCCTGTGTGGGTGTACCTGTGTGTGTGTACCTGTGTGTGTGTACCTGTGTGTGTGTACCTGTGTGGGTGTACCTGTGTTGGTGTACCTGTGTGGGTGTACCTGTGTGGGTGTACCTGTGTTGGTGTACCTGTGTGTATATACCTGTTGTCACTGCTGCTGTCTTTACAAATTTCTCTGCCTAGATAAACATCTCTGCCTAGATAAACATCTTTGCCTAGCATCTCTGCCTAGATAAACATCTCTGCCGAGATAATCATCTCTGCCTAGATATCATCCCTGCCTAGATAAACATCTCTGCCTAGATAAACATCCCTGCCTAGATAAACATCCTTGCCTAGATAATCATCTCTGCCTAGATAAACATCCCTGCCTAGATAAACATCTCTGCCTAGATAAACATCCCTGCCTAGATAACCATCTCTGCCTAGATAAACATTTGAAAGTTGTTAAGGACTAGGTACTTACTTTTCTGCTTTTATGCCAGAAATGGTCTCTTGCCCCGCGCAAACTAGTCATGCAGCAGAATGTGTATATGATTTTAAATAAGCTATAATAACTATGTGCCATTAGGTAAGATGTGAGAACCCACCTTCGGGCAACATCCACTTGGATTGAATGGTCAATGACAAGGTCGACTGGACACACAGGGTTGATTTTGTTGGGGTCACCGTCGAGTCGCTTGACAGCGTCACGCATCGCTGCGAAGTCCACTATAGCTGGTACGCCTCTGTAAGTAATAAACAGTTTGTCAATAAGAATTAAGAGGAAAAATCCCTACAACAGTACGTTGCGACGTACATGTCTGGTAAAAATTACTACCGGTCCAGCAATCAATATTGTAATTCTAGACCAAATGTCTGGCATATGTTTTCTACCTTAGAGTCATCTTGAGTCAAGTCACTTAAGCGTTTTAAATGCCTCTGTAATGTTCAGTGCAGTCAAGCGCTGTGGTAACCTGTATTGACATTGATGGAGTGAAGAATAATGCTTCGTGAGTGGGGAAAAACCCGGCAAACCACTGCCAAAACCAAACCCAGGTAATGTTTTCATTCAATTATCTTACACATCGAACAATTTTTGTAAGTTCATTTTTCATTTTCTTCGGACTAGTAAGTATTTCAAATAATCTGACTAAAATGTCCTGTAAAAGTTGTTTAGGTCCGGCAAGCTTGGGATAGTTACCTGACTGAATGTCCGGTAAGCTTGGGATAGTTACCTGACTGAATGTCTGGTAAGCTTGGGATAGTTACCTGACCGAATGTCTGGTAAGCTTGGGATAGTTACCTGACCGAATGTCCGGTAAACTTGGGATAGTTACCTGACCGAATGTCCGGTAAGCTTGGGATAGTTACCTGACCGAATGTCCGGTAAGCTTGGGATAGTTACCTGACCGAATGTTCGGTTAGAAAATGTGTATTTCGCATGGACTGCTACAAGCTTTTTCTACTCTTAAATGTTTCAAACAATTTGATTCCTGTTCTTTATTTAAGGCCACAGCCTAGCACTTTGTATCTCACATCTAACACCTGTAATCTATGTTTGAGTTATTTCAGTCTAGGCATTATCTAATGGTTCTACTAGGGGTGTAAACATATTTGTTACATGTATTACATATTGAAATAGAGAATAATACATGGTGATGGAAATATAACTATATAAAATATATTGAAATGAATCTTGATTTAGGGAACTATAACTGTTTATCAGGAATTATCCTCAAATAAAGGGTATTTTTAGGGGGAGAAATTCCCCTTTATGTAATCACTAGCATGACAGCCCTAATAGTTCACATTTCTTTTCTTTGGGCGAATTGAAATAAATTAATAACGACTTGCACTAATAATAACCTGTCAGTGGTACTTTAATTAGCAGGCAATATTTCCAGCTCTTCATCCCAGATCTAGCTCTGATCTCTCAATCCCAGATCTAGTTCTGATCTCAACATCCCAGACCTAGTTCTGATCTCTCCATTCCAGATATAGTTCTGATCCCAACATCCTAGATCTAGCTCTGATATCTCCATCCCAGATCTTGTTCTGATCTCAACATCCCAGATCTAGCTCTGATCTCTCCATCCCAGATCTAGCTCTGATCTCTCCATCCTCGATCTAGCTCTGATCTCAACATCCCAGATCTAGCTCTGATCTCTCCATCCACTATCTAGCTCTGATCTCAACATCCCAGATCTAGTTCTGATCTCAACATCCCAGATCTAGCTCTGATCTCTCCATCCCAGATCTAGCTCTGATCTCTCCATCCTCGATCTAGCTTTGATCTCAACATCCCAGATCTAGCTCTGATATCTCCATCCAAGATCTAACTCTGATCTCTCCATCCCCGATCTAGCTCTGATCTCTTCATCCCAGATCTAGCTCTGATCTCTCCATCCCAGATCTAGCTTTGATCTCTCCATCCAAGATCTAGCTCTGATCTCTCCATCCCAGATGTAGCTCTGATCTCTCCATCCCAGATCTCAAGGATCACTGAACTCCAGTCATTTATTTTATCATCAATTAGTTGTCGGTAAAATTAAACCCCACATTATGGAAAACTGAACCATATATCATACTTTCTTCAGGCTTTTCAGATACTTCAATGGGCCGGTTCCAATAAGTTTTATTTCAAATTTTCTCAAGTATGAAGGAAGATATATGTGAAATCCTGCAGAATGACCTTGCAAAGTTCAAAGTTTGACCATGACCTGTTAGAAGATTTATGTGACATCCTCAACGTGACCTTGGGTTGGTTGAAGTTTGACACTCAGAACAGTTTGGCATTGATCAAGACGACTTTATGTTAAGTCCTGCAGTATGACCCTGGCAGGTTTAAATTTAACCTTGACCTTGAATACTAATGTTTAGCATGACTTGTGAGGTTCGAACTTTGACCTTGACCAAGAAGACTTCATCTTAAGATAGTCATTTATTAGAAACACAGCTGACCTTGACCTAGAAAACTTACGTGAAATCCTGCAGTATCACCCTGGAGGGTTTGAAGGGTATTTCCACATTCTTTCCCTGATTTTTCTCCCAGTTAAGGATATTGTCCACGTCTCCTTTTTTGACCTGGAAACCGTCACAGTTACGGATGGCCGATTCCAGCAACACTCGTATAGAAAATGGCAGCTTGTCTTCAATAAAATAATTTGTTAAAATTTAGATTAGTCATACCCTAAAATCTTTGACACAGATTTAAGATTTGTTTTACTCTTATTTTGTTTTTTTAGCAGAGATTACCAGGATAACGCCAATTTTCGAAACTGGCCCATTTTCAAGGTCATCATATTTTAAAAGACATTTAAATTTAGACATATTGTCAAGGCCTTCTTGCCTTCAAAGCCTCTTAAACATTATAAGCCATTATCACTCATCATTAGAAGCAGTAGTTATTAAAATTGCCACCACTATCACCTCAACCATTTGAAATGCTCTTTCACTACACCAAACAGGCCTAGGGTTCAACACTAACACTAAAGACCTTTGGTACAAGACCAGTGGACTTCAGTGAACTACCTGACCTAAATTAAATGGTCCTTTGGAAAAAAATTGTTAAAACAATATTATCTGTTTTAGTAAATAATCTACTCTATTAGTCCGTTGGACTACCAAGTAAAAACAGTTAGTGTCTAACCCTGCCAAATGCAAATATATGCACATATTACATTGTATTTCAATTCTACTGTTAAGTTTACTTCTCTTTAAATCTCTCGCATCTATTAAATTATTTTTCTGTTTTAGGAAACTTCATTACATATTACATAACAAAAGGATCGCAAGCCCTGTTAAAGAATGAAATGTACTGACCTGTGCCGCTACATCAGTATACCATAGACCTACCATAGCGAATGTCATTAATGGCAGTAAGGGTGACTGACTTACCATAGCGACTGTCGTTGAGGGCAGTAAGGTTGACTGACTTACCATAGCGACTGTCGTTAAGGGCAGTAAGGGTGACTGACTTACCATAGCGACTGTCGTTGAGGGCTGAAAGGTTGACTGACTTACCATAGCGACTGTCGTTGAGGGCAGAAAGGTTGAAGAAGGAAAAATCCTTGCCTTCTATAGAAATGTTCTCTCTGAGCTGACTGTAGCCTGCCGACAGAAATCATATTTATAGTGATGGATATCATTTACAATTTGTACACCCTTTTTTCCATTTAGTCTTCCTTTTACTCCTGGACTATGATTTTGTATGTGTGCAAAGGGCCTGTATCGCTCACCGGAATATTTAAGTAGTCATTGCAAAATATTCTCATTAAATATTATCCTGTAATACAAATATTTCACTCACAAACTTTGTCGGCTCTATCTGTTGAAACTACCGGCCAAATATTATTATATGATTCTATGCTTTTTTTTTTCAGAACCTTATAAGGAGATCTACAGTATTTTGTCAGGCACCATCCCAGGAAGCTACCATCTAAATATTATAAAACTATGCTCTATGATTATTCAGAAGAAGCTGTTGCTTGACATATTTGACCACTGTGACCTTGTAAGTAGGTCAAAGTCATTTTCTTTTTTACACTTTGTCGGACTCTATCCCAGGAAGCCACCAGCCAAATATGAAGATTCTATACATCTCAATTCTTCAATTTGAAGGGTATTTCCACATTCTTTCCCTGATTTTTCTGATCTTTCAAATTGTGACCTTGAAAGTAAGTCAAGGTTATTTTCATTTTCAAACTTTGTTGGGCTCTATTCCAGGAAGCTATCAGCCAGATATGAATATTCAATATCTTTCAGTTTTTAAGTCGCTTGAAGTGTTCATCATATTTGACCCCTGAGACCTTGAAAGTAGGTCAAAGTCATTTTCATTCTCAAACTTTGTCACCTCTATCCCAGGAAGCTTTCAGCCAAATATCATGACTCTAGGCCTGTTAGTTCTCCAGGAGAAGTTGTTTAAAAGAAAAGTTGACGGACGACGGACGGACAACAGACACCGCACCATGACATTAGCTCACTTGCCCTTCAGGCAGGTGAGCTAATAATGTTACATAAGAGTGTTGATCGTTCAGGCCCTGATGAAGAGTCAAGCCTAAACGCTCGACTCTAGATAATTATCTTATTACATCACCTTTCAGAACTTGATGATAGACAAAGTGTTCAACTTGGGTATTTCAAGACTTTTGCTACAATAAAATGCAGATCACATAGAAAAGCCTTGATGAAATGTAATACTGGTAATAACATAATACATTTTAAGCAATTTTTGCCTGTTCCACCAGAAAAATAAAATACGAGGAAAACAGCAAGCCATGCAATGGCCATGGCCAGCCAATGGTCAAAACTACTAATGAATATGTAAAGCATTCAAATATATTGAAGGGTACGGAAAGGCCGGGTATCGACCCTTAAGGAGACGAAAAGTGAGGTGTCAAACTTAAAATGGCATGAACTTTCATAAAATCGTTCGTTTACATTGTATTATGTCAACAGAAAGGCACTACTCATGAGTACAATTGCATATATTTGTTGAATATTTTATAATTATGATGCTAGAAACAAGCTTTACCCAGATGTCATTCTGAGAAGTTTCATACATTTATATTATGGGTACAGGTAGAGCCCCCTTCAACTCGAGGCAGACACCTAGGTTGCACGGAAATCTTGTTTTGGAGAATAGATAACAATGTATCAAGAATATTACGCTCTTCTTTCACGTGTCCACTAAATTATAAAACGTATCTTAAAAGTGACATGTAGCTTGATCTTGTTTTAAAACGAAATAATGCAAGCTAGCAATAGTCGGGCACGTCTGGGGAATTCACATCTGGACCCCTCAATCTACATACACATGCCAAATATTCCTGAGGGCAGCCTCGGTTCAGATATGCGCCTGTCGTTTTCTTCTGGTTAAACGGTTTTAATCTGATTGAACCAGATACATGAAAAGGGCCCTGTAATCGCAAGAGTGGAAAATATCACTGGACACTGATTTCATTATCTAGGCACTAAGTGTGACTGTAATGTCACTAAGTGTGACTGTAGTGTCAGACTCGTCCCTCGACATGAAAGGCGACGACTTTGTTCATATCGTATAAAACGCAGGTGAATATATATTTTTTTAGTTAACAATGCATAATCGCCAGTCACAAATGAATAAGTGACGCGTAAAAGTCTATATTAAGTCTTTCAGAATGAGGGTCGACTCGACTTCTGATGGCCTTTCGATTCTTGAGGTCGATTCGACCATATATTGTACTTTGACCTAACACGTATCTTGCTTCATCGACAAGCATAGGTATTTCAATCACAAATCAAAATGAACAGCAAAGACAGTCGTCGTGTATAACAATAACAACATCAATGAGCATTTGAAACATTTTTACAAAGTTTTAACACAATAAACAAAGACAATAACACAGTATTTCCGCAAGTGTATCAATAACAAACCTTGTTCCGCCATTTTGATCTGTGGACCTGTCACGTGTGCCTAAAAATCAATAAAGAGGAATTAAATAATGCTTTGCGGCCATTTCATATCATTTTAAAAATAGTTTGATTGGTGCACACTACAGTTTATGAATGGAAATTGATTATTAATTTCTAGCTGTCGCGTAATAGTAATTTACTGCGGGGCATTTTTTTAAAATTCCGAAGAAAGTAAACTTCCGGTTCACCGGTGGTTGAAAGGTCAACACATCGGCTGAAAGTCGATAGACACGGTGTGCGGTTATGTTGTAGTCCTATTGAGACAGGCTGTGTTCATCTGTTGAAACATCGACACCCGAAGATATTTTTTTGTAAGTATAACAAAATTCTATTTAATTTTAAGCCATTTTGTTGGACGAGCAGCTATCCCATCAGCTGATTCCGAGACTTTGACAAGTTGTCATTGGACTATTCCATTTTCGTAACCTCCAATAGGACGACATTCTCAGCTACTAATTCCGATCAATTGTGTGAACACGTGTAGATCACTTAATACAGGTTAGGGTTAAGCCCCCACCACCCTGCACTTTAAGGATTAAGTGGTAAACTGCATTATTTGCTTCTATGAATTAGGGACCATAGTTTTGAGTGTTTTTATATATCTCGTTAACATTATTGTACTCCGGCAGGCTCAAGAACAAGAGTATTTCAGTGGTAACTAGATGGAAGACTCAAGAACAAGGTCTTGCCATGGAGGAGAAATGTGTCACTATACAATAATCTTTGTTTAAAGTCGTGTAAGTGTACGTACAACGGTAAAACATTAGTTCTAAAGCTATCGATTCGATTTCTCCATTCAGCTCACTCGGAATAGCTCTGGATGAATAATCTTAGTTCGCATTCAGGCATCCCCGTTGAAACAGGTGGCGCAGAAATATTCTTCAATGAACAATCAAGTTTTGTGACAAATAAATGTCTATATATCGAGTCACTTCATGAAGCATGATAATATGTCCTTCTCTCACACATCCACTAAATCATATAACAAGTTAACATATTCTAAAATATTTGAATCAACCTTGCTTTATATAGATATAGTGCCACTAACACTATTCAGCATTTTAGTTTAGGTGCATCTGGACCCTTCGATATGCATGTGCAGAATATTCTTGAGGTCAGCCTCGGTTCAGATCTGCACCTGTCGTTTTCTTTTCAGGATCAACTGGATACACAAAAAGGACAATAGAGGCACTTGAAAAAAGTGACATAGTTACTGATAACTTACTGAAAACTTAAATCAAATCAGGTTTATCTTTAACTTGACAAACTAAAGAAATATGTCTTTCACTGTCAACCAGCCTAGATTTTAATGCCTAAACCTACTGTGTAGTTGTTTTCTTATGCAATAAAAGTAAACAAGAACTGTTCATTTGTGATATTAACCCAATCACCCTTAAAGTCACATTTGAACCTTACCAAATCAATGACTGGGCGAGTCCAGTTTAAAATTGTAGGGGTGAATGAGTTAATGCTATCCCATACGATAAACCTGCTTGGAGTTGGTAAACATTTTTGGGCGTGATTTCATTGGTCAATTTTTTACTTATGACGTCACATAACAATGCTTCGCGACGTCATCTTCCATTGTGACGTCATGACTCACTGCAAGCATTCCCCCCTCCCCCATCGGAAGCCGACATAGTGTATTTTCAAAAGAAACATATGGCTTTCCATATAGAATCTGAATGTTATTGGAGAAAAAGAACCCCAAACTCGTGATGGTAGGTTATCATGTTTATCTAAGTCTCTTTATTTAATTTTCAAATTGTAAAAGACACTCGGTAAACCTCGTGTCTATATACAATTTGAAAATTAACTAACTTGAGTTAGTTAATCATGATAACCAACCATCACTCGTACAGGAACCTTATCTCTGTACAAACTTTGTAAAAATAGTTAACTATTATTAAATGGTTTGCCTTCTTACCTACATAATTATATAATTACAACTGTTATGATAAGAACTTCTAACCTTTAATGTTTTCCTTTTTTTCAGAAAGAATCAATATGACTGAATGATTGGAAGCCAGAGAAATCTAGGCCTGTGGATTCCACTTAGTTGTGCGCAACAGACATTTACTTTGAGATCTTGGAGTTTACAAAATAAATAAATAGTGTATTAAGTGTTAAAGGCCAATTCATAAACAAAGTGCATATCATATCACATTATGTTGACTTGACAAACATTTCTGATGGCTGAAAGTAAAAACAAAATACACGGATGTACTTTGACAAATAGGATTGCACTGATTTGTTTCTAGAAGATATTTCAGACCAAAAAATAACTTCTTTTTTTTTGAAAGAGGCTGATTATGAGAAAACTATTGGCTAAGAAAAAGGCAATGTAACTTTTGTGTAAATACAGTCCGAGTCACTTGAACGAGGTGTTTCCACTTTAGAGGCTAGAGCTAGTGGCAGCCTTGACCATGTCTGAGGAGGAGGTGGTAGAACGGAAGTTGCGGATTGTCCAGCTGGACATGATGGACAAAAGGAAGTATTACCCAATGTCTCTGGGAAGTAGTCTCCTTGTCCGCTTCATCCAGTACCCCCTGACCTTAGTCAGAACGAGGCTACAGGTGCAACATGGGAAGGATGTGTACAAAGGAACATTTGATGCATTGGTCAAAATCCGCGCCACAGAAGGACTCAACGGACTTTATCGTGGGTTTGGCGTTCATAGTATACAGGCTGTTAACTCTCTAGTCTATATTAGTATCTATGAAAACATTAGACAAATAATGATGAACCAGGCCAACCTACAAACATTTGAATACAAAAGTTACCTGAGTAGTTTTGTGGGAGGTTTTTCCGCCAGTTTTGTTTCCCAGACCATCGCTGTGCCGACTGATATTGTATCACAGCATATGATGTTACTGGGGCAGAACAAACAACGAGCTGAACCAGTGCCTAACAAAGTTAAAGTAAAACTGGAGCGTTTACAAGGAATTCATATACAGGAGAAGGTAATATATTTATACATAAATCAACACCATTGATATATATGCTTAATCTGTAGTTATTTTTAGATTGCTTAGCCAGCATGTGGACTTGAGTTTCTATTTAGTTCATAGAATTAGGATTCCGTTGAAATTTTTGATGATAAATTATTGGTTACTAATCGTTGTAAAGAAATACATCTTGAAATCCATGCTGTGAATCTCTGGAAACCTTTGTAAATTAAAGTTACAACACGAACAGATGTTATCTAATTTTTCTAATGACTAAAAGTCGTCCATTGTTTCACCTCCCAAGGTTTTCCCTTGATGTCAAACATCACCTACTGTTGTGGATTTATATATGATTTTGACATCATCTTGACTGGTAACACCTACTGTTGTGTTGTAGGGGAAGAAGGTGGATGTGGTGAAAGCCATCGTGTCCGAGGTGTACCGAAAAGAGGGCGTCGGTGGTTTCTACCGCGGATACTTCATATCTCTATCCGTGTACGGTCTGGGCAGCTCCCTCTGGTGGCCTTTTTATGAATTTTATGCTAGTAAGTTTGGTTGAGAGAAAGAATTTCGCTCAAACTTCAAACAATAACAGTCCCATACAGAAGTGTGGTTTTAAGAATTTGTACTATATCTTATACATTGTGTGTTTTTTATTATCAGAGTGATCTCCCTTTAATAAGTATTCTCTGATAATTTAGGTTACCTGTTAAACCATGTCAATGCTTTCAAATGTGTGATTGTTTGATTAACAATGGTTAAATTGGGCTCAAACCTCATTGTTGGTTGGGGCTCAGATCTAAGGGTTTTTACTGGGGTCAGATATGAGAATTTACTGGGAATGAGATCTTGTATTAATAGGATAAAACAACATGTCTCAATTGGGCTCAAACCTCATTGTTGTCTGGGCTCAGGTCTTCCTAGGGCTCAGATATTAGAGTTTACTGGGGATCAGATCTTAGGGCTTACTGGGGCTCAGATATGAGAATTTACCGGGAATGATATCTTGGGGCTTACTTGGGCTTCAATCTCTTGTCTTAACATGGCTCAAGTGGACTCAAACCTCATTGTTGGCTGGGATAGGGCTAAGGGCTTATTACGTACAAGGGCTCAGATTTGAGAGTTTACTGGAACCTAAATATTGTGTCTCACTGGGGTTAAGCATCATGGTTAAATTGAATTCGGACCTCATGGTTTAGACCTTATGGCCGACTGTGATTCATACTTCATGGTTGCTTGGGATTCAGACCATATACAGCTTATTATGCTTGGACATCAAGACAGAGTTGACGTCATAAAACATTTTACCTTGTGTTACTTCTCACAGATAACCTGGTGCCCACCAGTCCACATTGGGTGCCACAGACGTTGGTCCATGGGATCTCGGCGTCGATGGCCGGGATTACCTCTGTCACAATAACCAACTCCATGGAATTGGTGCGCGTCCGAATGCAGGTAAATAGTTCAATGACAAGTAGGAACACATATCAAGATGTTATTTCCCTGTCCACCGCTGGAGGGTGGGGTTAGTTTACAATATGTCTGTTTTTTTATAAACTCTCAGTGTAGCCATTTCATCGTTTAAGTGTAGAACTTATGCCGTCTACTTCACTGTATCATTGTAGTTTGGACACTTTTAAAAGAAAAGAATATTATTTTACATTTGATGAAAAGTAAAGCATTTAAGGAAACAAATTGCTGTTGTTCTTCTATCTTAAAATACTTTTTGACTAAACATTGTAGGTAGGCCGTTCTGATTTCAAGGACACTGTTAAAAAAACGTGGAGAGAGGAAGGACTAGGAATCTTCACCAAGGGACTCACAGCGCGCATTATCAATGTTGTACCTTTTAGCTTCCTCATCATGACCTCCTATTCAACAATTAAACACCTCAGCCTCAAGGACGAGTACAAGGAGCAGGTGCACTGGTGACATCCTCCCCTGAAACAGCAGTAACCTCCCCTGACTGTGTAGATGACACAGCAGTAAACTCCCCTGACTGTGTAGATGACACATCAGTAACCTCCCCTGACTGTGTCGATGACACAGCTGTTACCTCCCCTGACTGTGTAGATAACACACCAGTAACCTCCCCTGACTGTGTAGAGGACACTGGTGACATCACTGGTTACCTCCCCTGTCCGTAGATGACACAGCAGTAACCTCCCCTGGCTGTAAATGACACAGCAGTAACCTCCCCTGACTGTAAATGACACAGCAGTAACCTCCCCTGACAGTGTAGATGACACAGCAGTTCCCTCCCCTGACTGTGTAGATAACACACCAGTAACCTCCCCTGACTGTGTAGAGGACACTGGTGACATCACTGGTTACCTCCCCTGAAACAGCAGTACCCTCCCCTGACTGTGTAGATGACACTAGTGACATCACTGGTTACCTCCCCTGTCCGTAGATGACACAGCAGTAACCTCCCCTGGCTGTAAATGACACAGCAGTAACCTCCCCTGACTGTAAAGGACACAGCAGTAACCTCCCCTGACTGTGTAGATGACACTGGTGACATCACTGGTTACCTCCCCTGACCGTAGATGACACAGCAGTAACCTCCCCTGACAGTGTAGATGACACAGCAGTAACCTCCCCTGACTTTGTAGATGACACAGCAGTAACCTCCCCTGACTGTGGATGACACAGCAGTAACCTCCCCTGACTGTGTAGATGACACTGGTGACATCACTGGTTACCTCCCCTGACTGTAGAAGACACAGCAGTTATCTCCCCTGACTGTGTAGATGACACAACAGTAACCTCCCCTGACTGTGTAGATGACACAGCAGTAACCTTCCCTGACTGTGTAGATGACACAGCAGTTACCTCCCCTGACTGTGTAGATAACACACCAGTAACCTCCCCTGACTGTGTAGACGACACAGCAGTAACCTCCCCTGACAGTGTAGACGGCACAGTAGTAACCTCCCCTGACTGTGTAGATGACAATGCTCACATATTCTTGTAACCTCCCCTACCCTGGTGACGACACAGATATTATTACCTCCCCTTACCCTGGTGATGACACAGATGTTATTACCTCCCCTTACCCTGGTGACGACACAGATGTTATTACCTCCCCTTACCCTGGTGACGTCACAGATGTTATTACCTCCCCTTACCCTGGTGACAACTCAGATGTTATTACCTCCCCTTACCCTGGTGACGACACGGATGTTATTAACTCCCCTTACCCTGGTGACGACACAGATGTTATTAATTCCCCTTACCCTGCTGACGACACAGATGTTATTACCTCCCCTTTCGCTGGTGACGACTCAGATGTTATTACCTCCCCTTACCCTGGTGACTACTCAGATGTTATTTAACGTCCCTTACCCTGGTGATGACACAGATGTTATTACCTCCCCTTACCCTGGTGACAACTCAGATGTTATTACCTCCCCTTACCCTGGTGACGACTCTGATGTTATTACCTCCCCTTACCCTGGTGACGACACAGATGTTATTACCTCCCCTTACCCTGGTGACGACTCGGATGTTATTACCTCCCCTTACCCTGGTGACGTCACAGATGTTATTAACTCCCCTTACCCTAGTGCCACCTCAGATGTGGTTACATCCCCTTACTCTGGTGGTTAGACTGGTGTAATTACCTCCCCTTACCCTAGCAACGACTCAGATGGTTATTGCCCTGGCTCTCAGTGCTCTCTGCTCCCATTACAAACAGTTGGACTATTTGGAACATTTTTCCATGACAACCTCTGAAACCTCCAATGAGGGAGATCTCCCTCAACCACATTTCCAATGAGAGAGGAAGTTCTTGAACTGTGACTGAAACTTGAATGAGGAAGTTTCAAGGGAGATTGGTAATTTTTGGTCAAAATGACGGGAGTGTCACTCCCAATGTGGGAGGGTTTACAGCTATGAAGTTTGTATAGGAAATATAAAACCTGTTGGTCTACATTTGTTTACAAAGACTTACAAAGTCTGTTACAAAGACTGCCAAGACCATCATTAATATTTACGATTTATGAAGTATGTCAGGCTCTTCGACCAAAAATGTTGCATTTAAAAGTTATCGAATAAGTTGATGCTGAAACGGTGACCTTGTTATATCAGTCCCAGCTTACTCAAAGTCTACCCATTCACAAGGTTGAATGGGTTTTATTCAGGAATAAATCGACCAAATTCTTTGCACCCAGATCCACTGTCTGCAGAGGATACTTCAACTGTTGGTCCTATGGTCTAAAATAGATTAAAAGTGTATCTAGTAGCTAATAGTTTGGTCTATTAAATGTCGAGGGGTAAACTGAGGTATACAGCTGAATCTGCCCCAGAGCAATGCTTACCATTTTCTCATCCTCACAAAAGTTTTAAGTATATCTAGATAATCTGTTAAGAGACAACCTCTGCTATGAGACAACCTCTGCTAAGAGACAACCTCTTCTAAGAGGCAACCTCTACTAAGAGACCACCTCTGTTAAGAGACCATTTCTTAGCCTTCCCTTTAGTGGTCTCTACACAGGTTTATCTATGTCTAAAAAGTCTAGTTTACACAGGTTTAGCTATGTCTAAAAAGTCTGGTTTACACAGGTTTAGCTATGTCTAAAAAGTCTGGTTTACACAGGTTTTAGGTTATTAAGTTTCTGGTTAATACAGGTTAAATGTTGTTTGATTTAAACTTACCCCTTTCACCACTGTAAACGATAATGGACTCATCCATACCAATGCATGTTAGAGTCTACTCGAGTTACATAGGGGTGAAAGATTTAACACACAAGGTTGTTAATGTGCTTGAGGATGAACCTTAAATATGTTCAAGAAATATTTTTTATATCAGAAATAATATGTTTAAATGTGATTGTAAATGTGAAAAATGAGAATATATTATATATTTATATATGTTTAGAAGTATGGATAATTGTTTCATTACTGTTGTAGAATAATGCTTAATTTAGTTCAATTAAAGAAAGTGTTACAAGGAAGGGGTGACTGGTGTGTTGTACATGGTATTATATATACTGTATAGAGTAACATCAGCCCTGTAGTGGGATATGGATTCTTGGTATTATATATACTGTATAGAGTAACATCAGCCCTGTAGTGGGATATGGATTCTTGGTATTATATATACTGTATAGAGTAACATCAGCCCTGTAGTGGGATATGGATTCTTGGTATTATATATACTGTATAGAGTAACATCAGCCCTGTAGTGGGATATGGATTCTTGGTATTATATATACTGTATAGAGTAACATCAGCCCTGTAGTGGGATATGGATTCTTGGTATTATATATACTGTATAGAGTAACATCAGCCCTGTAGTGGGATATGGATTCTTGGTATTATATATACTGTATAGAGTAACATCAGCCCTGTAGTGGGATATGGATTCTTGGTATTATATATACTGTATAGAGTAACATCAGCCCTGTAGTGGGATATGGATTCTTGGTATTATATATACTGTATAGAGTAACATCAGCCCTGTAGTGGGATATGGATTCTTGGTATTATATATACTGTATAGAGTAACATCAGCCCTGTAGTGGGATATGGATTCTTGGTATTATATATACTGTATAGAGTAACATCAGCCCTGTAGTGGGATATGGATTCTTGGTATTATATATACTGTATAGAGTAACATCAGCCCTGTAGTGGGATATGGATTCTTGGTATTATATATACTGTATAGAGTAACATCAGCCCTGTAGTGGGATATGGATTCTTGGTATTATATATACTGTATAGAGTAACATCAGCCCTGTAGTGGGATATGGATTCTTGGTATTATATATACTGTATAGAGTAACATCAGCCCTGTAGTGGGATATGGATTCTTGGTATTATATATACTGTATAGAGTAACATCAGCCCTGTAGTGGGATATGGATTCTTGGTATTATATATACTGTATAGAGTAACATCAGCCCTGTAGTGGGATATGGATTCTTGGTATTATATATACTGTATAGAGTAACATCAGCCCTGTAGTGGGATATGGATTCTTGGTATTATATATACTGTATAGAGTAACATCAGCCCTGTAGTGGGATATGGATTCTTGGTATTATATATACTGTATAGAGTAACATCAGCCCTGTAGTGGGATATGGATTCTTGGTATTATATATACTGTATAGAGTAACATCAGCCCTGTAGTGGGATATGGATTCTTGGTATTATATATACTGTATAGAGTAACATCAGCCCTGTAGTGGGATATGGATTCTTGGTATTATATATACTGTATAGAGTAACATCAGCCCTGTAGTGGGATATGGATTCTTGGTATTATATATACTGTATAGAGTAACATCAGCCCTGTAGTGGGATATGGATTCTTGGTATTATATATACTGTATAGAGTAACATCAGCCCTGTAGTGGGATATGGATTCTTGGTATTATATATACTGTATAGAGTAACATCAGCCCTGTAGTGGGATATGGATTCTTGGTATTATATATACTGTATAGAGTAACATCAGCCCTGTAGTGGGATATGGATTCTTGGTATTATATATACTGTATAGAGTAACATCAGCCCTGTAGTGGGATATGGATTCTTGGTATTATATATACTGTATAGAGTAACATCAGCCCTGTAGTGGGATATGGATTCTTGGTATTATATATACTGTATAGAGTAACATCAGCCCTGTAGTGGGATATGGATTCTTGGTATTATATATACTGTATAGAGTAACATCAGCCCTGTAGTGGGATATGGATTCTTGGTATTATATATACTGTATAGAGTAACATCAGCCCTGTAGTGGGATATGGATTCTTGGTATTATATATACTGTATAGAGTAACATCAGCCCTGTAGTGGGATATGGATTCTTGGTATTATATATACTGTATAGAGTAACATCAGCCCTGTAGTGGGATATGGATTCTTGGTATTATATATACTGTATAGAGTAACATCAGCCCTGTAGTGAGATATGGATTCTTGGTATTATATAATGTTAAACTGTGAATTAGAAAGAGAAATAAGATTTCTATTTTTAAAAACTCAGGTGTCTTTCAAAACTCTTATAAAAGTTTCCTGCACTGTAACACTGTAAACATTTACCATTTTGACATATTTAGCTCACCTGGCCCAAAGGGCCAAGTGAGCTTATGCCATGGTGCGGCGTCCGGCGTCAATATTTTACTTTAAACAACTTCTTCTGAATAACCAAAATGCCCAGGGTGATGATATTTGGCCAGTGGCATGCTGGGGCTACCAAGTTTGTTCAAATGAATGACCTTTATTTATATTCAAGGTCACAGGGGTTAATAGTCATAAAAAATGTTTTAAACAACTTCTTCTGAATAACTAAGAGACCTAGGATAATGATATTTGGCCAGTAACATGCTAGGATGAAGGGCTACCAAGTTTGTTCAAATGGATGACCTTTATTTATATTCAAGGTCACAGGGGTCAAATATGT